GAGAGAGAGAGAGAGAGAGAGAGAGAGAGAGCGACTGTGAGAGAGATTGCCGATTGTCTGCCACCAAATTTGGAGGCAAATCATATGTCAATACCTTTTGGCTATAATTCATGTGAATTATGAACGGAATGGGAATTACAAGTAAGAAGAGAGAGAGAGAGAGAGAGATGGCAAACATAAGTGTATCGGAAAACCGAGTGATAGAATAGGAGATACAAAAGGGAGCAAAACGTCGAAACAATTTACTTGTTTCTCAACAGTAAGTAATCAGTTGTTGCGTTAGTGTTGCTCTCTTTGTGACTCTTTTACATGTGCTCTCATTCCCAATCAATTTTTATTTTATAAGTCTCTCTCTCTCTCTCTCTCATTATTTATTTATTTTGTCAATTTATTCATAAAAATTGTACGTAAAATGATTGATGAAAATCTCAATATACATTTGCTTCGCTTAATGAGTAACACAATTATATTATTTGATTTGTATATTAATTTAAGCCTATATTTTACTGACACTAACCAACGCTTAACATTGTTGCAGAAAATTATTATAATTTATAAACTAGTAATTAAATAATAATATATCGGAAATAGTTTTACATTTCCATCAATATATTGCCAAATATTCACTTATTTTATTTTTAAGGTATACAACAACGTTGTGTAGTATTGACACAATGTATAAAATCAAATTCAATACACAATAACTTTTATATAATTAGATTGAATGTTAGGATTCTTTGTATAAATATATTATACAGTAATTTAATGTTTCTTTCCTTTCAGTTTATGCATAGGAATTGCAATTTCTGTATTTCGCTCGATATATACCGTATGCTATGTTTTGCAAACATTTATTTTGCTTTTGTTTTGCAAAATAGATGCTGTAATTGAATTAGAAAAACAATACACTATTATATTAGAGACAATAACAGACAGTAAGGACAGGGAGTATAGTATAGCACTGTATTATACTATAGTTATAATATATAAAAGTTTGAGTAAAGCAGAGCAGATATCGCTTAAAGCAGATTACATTCAATTGTACGACAAAAGTGGAAATCTATTACTTGAATATTATTAGCCCTAAACATACACTACTGATAGAAAACTATGCCCTTTATTGTGAAACAACTTTTTGTATCTGTTTTAATGTACTCCAAACCCTTGTATCCAAATAGTGTCTCTCACTCTCTTCAATCTCCATCCTCTCTCTCTCTCTCACTCTCTTCTTACTTGTAATTCCCATTCCGTTCATAATTCACATGAATTATAGCCAAAAGGTATTGACATATGATTTGCCTCCAAATTTGGTGGCAGACAATCGGCAATCTCTCTCACAGTCGCTCTCTCTCTCTCTCTCTCTCTCTCTCTCTCTCTATGGCCGACATATCCATCCTTATGTTAAACTCTCTCAATAAGATTTAAAAAGACAACACAATATATACGACAGTAATTCTGTTATTTTTAATCAAAACCCATGCCCTCAGCGCTGATTCTAATCTATGCCCTCTCTATGTATTACTGATGTATAAGACTATACACTACTGTATATTAGACTTAACTATATTTTTATTACCGAAACAGAAAAAAATTTCATCCTTTCATTAGAAATATCTTTTTCAATGTTTTGTTTCTTTTTTGGCCCAATATTTCTAACACAATATACAGTTATTTCCATTAAACTGAACGATTGAATGTAATATACTTTCCATTTAAAACAACAACAAGAAAACACAGACATCTATGAGTTTTTATATATTTATAAATTGGATTTGTATTAAATACCGGCGGATAGAAAAATCATATTATAATTTCATTGAGTTTTAAAAATATTTAATTTAATTTGAATCTGTGAGCAGAAGAGGCAAAAAGTAAAATCAAAATGAAAGAGAAATAAAAACTTTGTGCCAAAATGTTAACAATATTTAGAGAGAAAAATAAATTCATATTAACTTACAATTCTTGAGATTTAGAGGACCGGCGGCACCGGTATTATCGTCGGCTCGTTTAGCGTTGATGAACGAGCTGTTAATTCTGTCCATTTGTGTGGCGGTCATTGGCTGCGAACCGGGCATTAGGGAGGCGTAAGCGGCGGCGGCCGCTGTCCACGCGTTGAGCGCCGACGACGTCTGAGCGCCCGGTCGTAGGAATGGCAACAATGAGAGCGCGTTATTCAAGTCTTGCGGCCACTGTTTCGACGGCATTGAGGACAAGGCTGTGGCCGACTCGCTCGCCGCCGACGACCACACCGACGCCAATTGGCTGTTGAGCTGACCGTAGTATGAATTGGCGCCTGAAGTGCGGTATTTGTTACCATTTTATTAGTTTTTTGTTTAGATAAGTGTTCATAAAGTCAGTGATTACCGGCCAACAGAAGAGGTAAGTGTCCGTTATGTCTGCTATTTCTGTCTAAACCGATCGGTCGATCCCTATTGAGACCAATTGGCGATAGGGAAGAGGACGAGGAGCTCATGTCTCCTATAATTATTGTAAAATAAAAATATTAAATTTTGATTATTTGTAAATTGAGATAATATTTAATATATTTTTAGCCACAATTCATACATTAAGATATGGTTTATACCATAGTTTCGTTTTTTAATGTAATTTATTGTGTTTTTTATGTAAACTATTGTAAGAGTCTTTTACAGATGCCATACATAATAGAGTCTATCTATGGATTGACTATTCATTAGGAAAAAGCAAATCCTTTGTTATTGAACAACAAAAAAATTAATTTAATTTTTTCTCTGCAAATATATTGTCATAAATATTTGTTGAGATAAGCTATCGGTTTTTATGACCATTTTATAGGTTCAGTCAAACGTGAAAAATTTTATTAATAAAGAGAGCAAAAGATTTTTTGTTTAGTTGTTAAAAATAGAGACCATATTTAGAGTGAGATTTCAATTCATACATAACTGAGCGCTGAATTATGTACGGAAATAAATGATATATACAATGCTCTACACTATATGGTAGTCATACAATATGAATGTCTACAAAAAACAGGGAAAGAGAGAGGGAGAGAGAGAGAGAGAGAGAGAGAGGAATCAAATCCCGAGTGGTATAACTTATTCTGTGCTCTCCTTTTTTGCTCCTATAGTTATGTACAGTATATATACACTGTATTTATAAGGCTTAACTCAGACACACAGCTCCTCATCACTGGCACTGGTATGGGATCCGCCTTAACAACAACCACATCATCATTACTGAGAGATTGCGACCGAAATATGTATACTTTATATACATTTTTTATCCAAGCTTTTTATATATACAGTTGTTTTTTGCACATTTATATCCACTAATAAAATAGTGTACTTTTATATTATTATGGAAACAAAATCATCTCTCAATAATATATTCAATCAAAATTCAAGTGTGATTTGGAGAGAGAAGGAGAGAGAGAGAGAGAGAGAGAGAGAGATGTATTTAAAAAATGGTAATTTTATTTTTTCTCTATAAATCCTCCACTGATTGACTCATTACTGGGAATTATATTAGATATTTGTCTCACAATTTATGGTAAAATATGTTTCTGTAGTGTTTTTAATAAATTTCTATTATAAAACACGGATATTGTTTTCACTGTCTTTGTTAATACAAGTCTTGTCTGTAATTAGCGTTTAATTTATGATTGAAATAAATTTTTCGTAAAACTTTTATTCTCTCAACAAATAAAATATTACAATTAATGGTATATTATGTACAGTATATAAAATTTATTCCTATTTATAGCGTATACTGTATATATGGAGTCAAATCATAAGTTATATAGTATTTAATAAAATTTAATACAAAACAAAACAGGAGAAAATGTGATTAATTTAAATTCGCCATAAATTATACACCAATTTAAAGGCTACGTAACTGTTTGTGCAGAAAATGAGAGACAAAACTATCAAAGCTTTGATTAAAATTAGAGGCAAATATATTCTTGTATTAAATAGAGTACTGAAAGGAGAGAGAGAGAGAGAGAAGTGAAGTAAATAGCGTAGAGTATAAGAGCCAGTATTTCATTGAAAAACTGATGGCAGAGTTGAGTAGTGGTTGTAGTGATGAACGCAAACCGCAAACACAATCCGCCGCCAAAAAAGCCCCGCAAAAAAGGAGCTTTACTTTTGCAACCGCTGGCAAAACCTGATTTGGCGCTCACTATAAGCTTACCATAACATAACAATCTATGTTATCTACTAATAAAATAGTGTACTTTTATATTATTATGGAAACAAAATCATCTCTCAATAATATATTCAATCAAAATTCAAGTGTGATTTAGAGAGAGAGAGAGAGAGAGAGAGAGAGAGAGAGAGATTGTACGGCAAACTATAAACACCATGATTGAATGTGTTTGAGCACCGGGAGTGATGGGCCACAAAACTGAAGCAATTAGTGCGGCTTTTCTCTCACTTTTTTTCGGTACGATTTATCCATACAATCCATACATACATACGATTACCTAATAATACAAAACCAAACCATAGATTGTTATGTTATGGTAAGCTTATAGTGAGCGCCAAATCAGGTTTTGCCAGCGGTTGCAAAAGTAAAGCTCCTTTTTTGCGGGGCTTTTTTGGCGGCGGATTGTGTTTGCGGTTTGCGTTCAGCACTACAACCACTACTCATCTCTGCCATCAGTTTTTCAATGAAATACTGGCTCTTATACTCTACGCTATTTACTTCACTTATCTCTCTCTCTCTCTCTCTCTCTCCCTCCCTCTCCCTAACCAGAGATGATGACTACTGCCTGAAAGTCTGTACAGTATTTGCCCATAGATTATGGGCATTAAGTCATTGCACACAAAGGCTATATGTAATAAAGACTGCAAATATGAGAGCAAACGGCAGAAAACACGGCACAGGGATTAACACACATACAGACAGACCAGCCATGTGTGCGCTCAATATCACTAATTTAGCCGCAATTTCTTTATTTGCAAATTATTTATTAAATATCATATATAAGAGATTCATTAGATTATTGGTTAAGCAGTCAATCCAAGTCTTATGATTGCTCTCGCGTTCAGAGCCCAGTGTTTTAATTGACGTTTATATTTATCTAACGTTAGTTACGCTCAGAGCTGAACATCTCTTAAACCTCTCCTCTAAACGCCCGACTCTTAGACTCTTGTCATCAAATGAATTGCTATTATATCGCAGTTTTTATGTGCTTTTTTCGCCGATGTTTTATCATTTCTATTGTCGCTTATATTACATGCTATTAAGGTTTGCAAAACATTTAATAATAGCATCACTTTATTATACATTTTATATCTATTGATTATCAATGTATCAGAAATATCTAGTTCTCTCTCTCTCTCTCTCTCTCTCTCTCTCTCTCCCATTCACTTTGTGACCAACATTTAAGATCATTTTTATTAAGACTTTTTATGCAATTATACATAATATATATTTACAAATAAATGCATTCATAACGTGTTTTGTTTAAAAAGTAATAAAAAATTTCTGAATCCTATGAAATAAATACTAAATGACATCAAATTTATTTGATAGCAGTTTGAGATCTGTTTTCTTTATAAAGTTGTTTATAATGTTTGCCACATATTATGCAGTCTTTTGTATTGATATCAATATATCAATAGCTTTTGTATTAATGTAATAATATTTTCGCAAACACTGAAAATGAATACATCTTTTGCGAGAGAATTACTGCAAATAAACACAACATTAGAAGTAATTTAGAGGAGAACTTGAAATATAAGCCATCAATGCATTGGAAAACACATTATGTTTGAGACAAAAAAGTCTAGAAATGCTATTTTATTAACGATACGATTGCCACACATATAAGTCTTTATAACTATTGCTATCAATAAATGTTTGACTTATAATTTAATAATAATAATAATTTTTGAGCTTAAATAATGGTTATAATGTAGTGGAAATTCACGCTTGGTGACATTTTCTCTCTTATAATTGTTTTAAGTACACTATTAAAACATAGATAAGGCAAAAATAAAATGCATTTATTAATCATTAATTTAATTTATTTGGTCTAAAATATAAGACAATTGAAATGAATATATTTTATTAAGTAAACTATAAACTGTTTTCCATTCAAATTCACTGATAAAATATTTAATATAAATTTTATTTTATAATGGGATTAAATATAAATTCAATTGCATTTATAAATATATTTTAATAATACATCGTTTATACGTTTATTATACGGTATTTATTTTGCAAAAATATATTTATTTTCAATCATATCTTCGAGTAGTGATAATGTGTTAAACAAGTTGTAAAAGAGATTATTAATAAATCAATAAATTAATATATAATTCAACCAATTTATGCACATCTGAATTATCATTAATTGGAAGTACACTATACTTATGCACACAATTTACAAGAGACTAACAAAGTATAAATAGACATAAAAACCCCACTTATGATACATATGTCTAACTATATTCCCTAATCTTTATGGAAAAAAAATAAATGTATAGTTTTATACAGCGCTCTGATCTCATCATAACTGAAAAACACAGTTTTATAAAAGATTTATTTTGTTTCGTAGAGTATTTTGCTGCTATTTTTCATACAATATTATCTATTGAATACTGATCTCTAGCGTTCACTATAGAGAATAGACAATATGTTTTAGTAATGCTCTGACTATCATATAGTAGTTTCTTATATATGAATAAATAGGGTATTGGATGCTTTGTAGAGCAAAGATATAATCCCTTCTCATGTTATACATAGTGAGAGAGAGAGAGAGAGAGAGAGAGAGATGTATTTAAAAAATGGTAATTTTATTTTTTCTCTATAAATCCTCCACTGATTGACTCATTACTGGGAATTATATTAGATATTTG